TAGTAACTTCCGGAAGGGTCGGTTCGGCCTTTCGCCGCTCTCTGTAGCGTGTGCAGCCCTGACCATGCACAGGAAATTGGCCAAGACCATCTCGGTCTACCTCCGCAGACATGTGAGAGGCTTAGACACGAGCGGGCAGGTCAACATCACTTAGACAGATCAGTCCTTGAGGTGCTAGGTATGGTGCAGCATGCAGCTTTTCCACTGAGTCGGGGTGAGCCCTCCGAGCAGAAGGCTACAAGCGCAAGAACTGCAAAAGATGTCTTGCACACCTGCAATACATGTGTCGAGATTTTGGCGAGGCGAGCACTGACGAAATGCACGCACTATGACTGCTGAGGAGAGGAGAGAAGGCGGCTCAAGCAGCAACGCAGCAGAGATGAGCTGAGATGAGAGATGTTGGATTCCCTCTATGGAAACCTGCTCGGCCTGAGCCCTGAGCCGGTTTGCCCACAGAGATCGTTTGCTCGAAGCGAAGCGGATCTTGCAGGCTCCGATGCAGGTGAGGCTGCGACGCGAAAGGAAGATGATATCTTTGCAGAGCCCAAGGCTGGTAGCGCAGGGCATGCGCTTTCTGTGCCGTGGCGCAAGATGTGCTTACTTGCGAAGAACCCTCTGTGTGTTGCCGCAGCCTCAAGCAGTGCTGACTCCGACAAGCAGAGACTAGTCATGCACCGTCGTTAACATAAGCTCCTACCAGGACCAGCCAATCAGAAGGTTTTGACAATGGACGCGATGCAGCCTGCCGGCAGTTTGCCGAAATGGGCGCTGTTCACTGCAGCTGCGTGCAGCGAGAGGCCGAGTGTGACTCAGTGAGCCCAGGAGTAATCACAGTCTACGACGACGGGTTGCCCAATGAACGCAAGAGTTTCCATGCTGAAGCATTGGAGCAGTCTCCGGAAGAATCTCGGAGATGGGAATCCGATGCCACATTGCCTGGCACATTTTGTGCTCGCACCGAAGTGGAGCAGGCAGTGGAAGACACAGCGAAGCACAACAAGAGTGAGGCAACAGGGAAGGCAACCGAGAAACTGGAGGCTCCAGGGTCACTGACTGCCCATGCCGACCAAGCAAGTGAAGGTGCTGCGCCCAGTTTTATTCAAATCATGGTCAAGAGTCAAGAGTATGCAGCTTGCTCAGTAGTGCTGAGTTTCGTTAGGTACTTTTCCTGACGAGGATCCTCCCCTGCCTCCGCCAGCCACTCCACCGCGAGGGTCTAGCAAAAGCACGACCAAGTCCTTTCAGGAAGGTTCTAAGACGCAGCGGATGCCGACCGTTGGCCCAAGCAGCGCGCTGCCTGGTCGTCGTCACGCTGTCCAGCTTGCAGCATCACATTTTGTTTTAAAAACGCCCTTGCGTGGGCCCTATCCCGAAGGGATGCAGAAATTTGTTTTTGCATGTGGGTGTTTCTGGCAAGCAGAGCGGGGTGCCTGGCGACTCCCCGGCGTGTATAGCACATCTGCTGGCTATGCTGCTGGATATACACCGAACCCTACCTACGATGAAGTCTGCAGTGAGGGCACAGGGGCTGCCCAGGCCGTGCAAGTGGTCTTCGATCCAGGCACGCATCTTCTGGTTTGCTTTTGATTCCCTCGATCCTGGATATCCTGAAACTGAGTCTTATGTCGTGCTTCGTGCAGACTGTCCAGGTATCATCAGCTTGATCGATCTGCTGCGATGGTTCTGGGAGTCACACGATCCCAGGGCATGCCATGGACATGCGTTAGCAAATGGGCCTCGGTTCCGTAGTGGCCTGTACTATTTCAACACGCAGCAAAAGGAGATCATGGAAATTAGCCGGCAAGCGTACCAGGCGTTTCTGGAGCGTGCAGGAAACTATTCAGGATGCACGATTGCAACTGAAATCCTGGCTGCTTCCAGCTTTCACACGTTCCCGGGCGACGTTTTCTATGTCGCTGAAGAAGAGCACCAGCAGTTTTTGGCGAAACCTGGTGGTGGGGAAGCTTTTCTAAGGAAAGCTGTGGGAGGCAGCTTGCATCCGCTTGGTATATCTATGCGAGATTTAGGAGATCTGGCCCTGCCGGAGAAGCACACGCCCAAACTCTCAGAGGAGTTTTGGAGGCGACATGCACCAGCCGCAAGTGCCTCAGGATAAGCACAAGTCAAGCGCATCCAGTACGTGTCCTAGATGTAAGAAGTTTTGGAACTGAGGAGAGCCTTCAAAATCAGAGTTCACACGAGCAGATTCAGCTTCTTGGCTTGGGCTTGGACTAGGCGCGTATGGCGGGACTTCGTTGATTTCTGCTTCGGTCTGGCCAAGGTGGCCCGTCTCGTGAGTCGGCGATTTCTTTGGCTGCATGCCTGAATGGTGCGTGCAGCTCTTCGTGGGTTCGTATCTTGTGCCAGCAGTCAAAAAAAGGCAAAAGAGTCCGTAAAGAGGGAGGAAATGCAGAAGGCGATGCTGACATAGTGAAGAATGGTGAAAATGCTGAATTTGGCAGGGTGCAGCCCCCTCCCGATCATCTGACGGTGGCGCGGCAGACCCTGTGGAGAAGCTGTCGACAGAGAAGAAGGTGACTGACGACAAGGCAGGGGGCTCATTTTGGCAGCAAGCTCGTTTGCTGTGGTTTGCTGCATGACCACATTGAGTTTTAAACAAGAAATAATTTGCTGAGATATGTACATGTATTGGCTTTCTTAGTCTTGCTCCCGTTATCCGTGCAGAGATTTTCGTAGAAGGTATGGTGTTCGAGACTGATCGAGACTGCAACAAAGGAGAAGGGGCCGCCGAGCAGTACTCCCCTGCCACAGGCATGGGTGTAGAAAGTTCTTTGATTTACCCCCTGGATGCCTGTTGCAGACATTCTCGGCTGCAAAGCTGATGATGCCACCTGTGCGGAAGAAGGCTGGAAAGCAGAAGGGTAGGGGGGGGCTAAGAGCCAGACAATGAGTTGAGTTGAAGATGTTACACATCCGTCGAGATGTGTTCGGATCGATCTGCGTGTTTGTATTGTCTTTTGTTTGCAGATGTGCATGGGTGCTCCTTGGAAGCGGTGTGGGCCACCGCTTTGTCTAGGTGGAGCCAGCAAGGAGGCCATCCATGCCAGCCTTGGATCTTTCCAAGCTTGCGGCAGTCCGCTCCGCAGCAACCTAAACCCAAACAGTCGGCTTCTCTTTTTGCATCCCACCAAGGAAAAGGAGGCGCTTATGAAACAGCGTGCAGCGGCAGAGACAAGCAGCAAGGCAGCCATTGTGCAGTTTGCAGTGATTCTCCGCGTTTCGTGGGATGCTGCTTCAGCAGTCCTGCGGAAGAACGCATCCGAAACATAGTGATTTTCTGCCGAAGTATGCAGCAGTCCCACGTGCTGTGGGTTTGCATCCTGAGCAGGCTGTTTCGGCTGCATCCAGTGTATCCAGTGTGGCATCGACCTCTACAGTGCTGGTTTGCAACGCCGAAGATGTTGAACATATAATTCGATGCTCCCAGGCGAAGCCAGTTGAAACCGATTCTGCGGCAGCCGGTACCCAAGCTGCTAAGATCGCCAAGAAATGATCACAGAGACGGGATCTTTCTGAGCAAGTCACTTGATAGATCTGTTGTGTATGCCGTGTTTTGATACAGTCAAAGATAAATCTCACATGATCCGAATGAGGCCGCTTCGACAGCTCCGCTGAGCGAGCCAATTGCACCCTGCTCGCGCTTGGGCAAGCTGTCGATATCTGTGTCAAATTTGTCGCATCCAGCCGTTGCAGTAGCTGCCGGCAAGAAGCTCATACGTGATCTCCGTCTTTCGGCTTTCTGAACGTCTTGAGGTTGCAAGTTTGTTCGGAGATCCGAATGAGGATTGCGTAACATGATACCCTGCGAAGCCCGCAGAACATGCAACTACTGTAGCCGCAGGAATACGACCCTGCCAAACCGAATGACTACGATGAGTTTTGCAGAAGGAGGCCGGTCAAAGGTAGAAGGATTGTCGTTGGCTGAAGAATCGTGAATCGGGCTGTCGCATATAAGGATGCGCCAGAAAGCTGAAGAGGAAATGGAAAAGCGCCGCCAAGCCGCGGCGGCAGTGCCTGAGATGTGCTGTGTGATCATGAGCCACTGAGGAGGCAGCCCGACAGCAGGCCAGCAAGGCACCCCAAGCAAAGGAGGATGACTGGCACTCGCAGGGGCACAGCTGTGCTGAAAAGCCGCATAAGCGAGTCAAGCCAATTCCAGGAGGATTTTGCCACGAAAATGATGAAGAAGATGGGTCCTAGCGCTCAGTGTGTTCCAGCCATGAGATCATGGACCGGCACCGATATATGCAATTACTGGCTGCAGGTTGGAAGGATGGTGCTGGACTTGGAAAAGAAGGTCAGGGTATGGTGAACCCGCTTGTCAGATCCTGAGACTTATGCATCCATCAGTGGCTCTGCCATGTGCCTTTCCTCTTGGGCCAGGTCATGCAAAAAACTGACCAAAAGACGGGTCGCATCGTCGAGGGTGTGAAGCGCGAGGCGACCGCGGAACTCCACTTCCGAGCTGTGAGCTGTGAGCTGCGGGAGGCGACGGCAGCGCCTGCAGGCCAGCCGGAGTCGAAGCAGGCACCCCCAGGAAGGGTTTTGGGCAGCGATGCGAGCCGGCCTTTGCCAGGCCAAAGCGTCTCCGAAGCTGCCGTGGGCTCAATTCGTGAGGCGATGTCTTTCATGTCTTTTCTTGGATGCTCTGCGGGCTGCTCTTGGCATCGAGGCCACCGACCCGCGTGCTTCTTCTGACCAACATGGTCGGTGCTGGAGACGTGGATGAGGCACCTGTAGTTTGGTGTGCCCTAGCCGGCCCTAGCCGCCCTCAGAGGACCTGCAGGAGGAGACGGCTGAGGAGGCCAGCAAGTATGGCAAACTCAAGAAGCCGAGCCCTCAGTCAAGAAAAAGCTGAAGAGATCGTGCACGCGCTACACGGCGATTTGCATGCTGCAGCGTGGTCAGTGTTATGATGTGGGAGCCCACATGCCAGTAGTGTTGCCGGACGCAATGCTCGTGAGCTGTCTAACATGATCGAGCGACACACTCATGCAGCATGTAAGATGTAACCATGTCGGAATGATTTGCTCGTGTGTGCAGAAATCAATCTCGCTCAAAGCGAGGTGTTCTGATTCTGGCTTGCTACACAGCATTGCTTGCACCCGGCTTGAGAAGCCCGTTCTGTATTCGGGTTGCAGGGGATTGCCGCCCGCTGCAGATGCTGGTCAGTGTGGGCTCTACACGACCGGGCAAGCTCGGGCCCCAGAGACTGGGGCCGCGACGATCGTCGCCGCCACACAGGAGATTGGGCCGCACCTGGCGCTCACAAACCGTTCGCGGTGCAGAAGCCCGAGTTCGTGGAGCAGGGGGTGGTGGAAGCGGAGGATCCTGCCGGCAACAAGGACCATAACGGGGACGAGCGGCTGATCAGCCGTTCCAAAACTGGCTCGTGGACGAGATCATGCCCAATGCCGCGAGCTCCATCATGTGCCCACGGAGCGAGATCAAGCGATGCCACCGAACTCTGGCTATCCCCGTTCGTTGTTCGCGAACTACACGCTCGACGGCATGGTGTGCACCATGTCGTCCAGGACCGGAGGGCCTTGCGTCCAGTGGGATTCCCATGCCAGTTCGGCCTTGTCTCATTCGGCTTTTCAGCCGTTCACCTGGCCCGTCATGTTCGACACTTCTGCCATGCAGGTGGACGTGAAGGTCTTGAGTGGGAACGAGGTCCTGTTCCATTATTGGGTGTTCCGAGGATACCGTTCGGACTCTGACCTCTCAGTCCAGCAGCAGTTCTGCGATGTGGTCCTGATCAGGTCGGCGAATGCAGGATGGTTCAGGCCCTCGATCGTCATCTCGGTCTTCGTCGGCTGGAAGGTCTCCGTGATGTCCTTCCAGGTCGGCGGCTGGGGCTATTCGATCGGACTCCGCGGGGTCCGTGGTGGCAAGTGATCATGCCAGTGGCACTTGCGAGCTCTGGGTCACCTCCGTTCGTCGGAGGCTACGGCAACGACGCGGACAGGGTCGAGTTCCGGCTCAGGATGCGACATGCGGGCGAACGTCCGTGCCAAGGATAAGGATGTGGCTTTCGGTCAGCCCATATCCCTGGGCCGGCGTTGATCAACGCCGCCCAGGCCTGCCGTCAACGGAGGGGCCCGACCACGTGCAGCAGTTCGCTCAGCTCTCGGCGGTGATCGCTCCTGGTACAACAGCTCCAGGGCGGCGAACGCCGATGATGTGGGCACCTTCACGGACGCCTTCCCATTCACTCGATGCAGAAGGAGATTTCCATGTCAGGGCTTGCTGGAAGCTGCGTGTCACTTCTCTTTAGTCTTTAGTTGGTTAGGCACTGGCGCACCACTCGCACGACACTGGACTGGCCGTGGAAGCTCACCGTGGACCTCCCGCGATCGTGGAGGAGGCGGCACGACATCCCGCTGGGGCATCCGCTTCAGGGTCTCAGCTGTTCAGGTGATCCCGGAGGGCGAGTTCATTGAGCACTTCGGCGGCCATGGGGGATGTGGCCCAACTGTCATCCCTTCCGTTCGCGGAGCAGTGAAATGGATCTGCAACAACGGATAGGGACGGCAGGGCCTGCTCCTCTGAATGCTCGTAGCATGGCGCTGCAGATGGTCTATGGCGATTGAGATATTGAGGGAGGGAGACGCACGAAGCCGTGCCCATGCTCTTGGAGCTCGTGGCCGTGCTCGAGGTGGTTGCTCATTGGAAGAGTGGGGCCATCTTCGCTTGGTGGATCTGAATCATGATCTACTCGTCCTTCTGGTTCGATGACTTTATGCCACTCTGCACGTGGTCCCGGAGACGCTCGCATGAACGAGGCTCTCTATGGGATCGTGTGGCAGACGAGTGTGGAACGGCAAAAGAGGGCGACCGGTTCGCGGCAGCCAAGGTTGGGCGGCGGCGACATTCATGATGGACGATCGTGATTTCTTCATGACGGAGCTCGAGTGAGTCGATAAGTTCTCAGACCGGCATCGTATCAGAGGAATGTACTCAGGCGGCGGTTCGTGCTCACGACGGCTGCTTCAGAAGATCTCAAGCGAGGCAACGTTAAGCCAGTCGAGCTCCCGAAGTTGCTCGAGTTGATCAAAGAGCTCACACGGCACTCTTGCCGTGTGACCCTGCTCGCGGCGGCGGTTCGCCTGACAAGGAGAGCGGGTTACAAGCGAACTGGAAGGATCCCAAACAGCTGGTTTTGAAGTATGTTCGGAACATTTCGGAACCGCAACTAAATCTCACTCGAGATGGTGAAGAGACTGACCTCCCAGCGAATCGGGCTGCCGTTCGCCTCCGGAGTACGAGGCAGAAGACACGAACCTCGTCGACTTTCGGGGACCACGCTCTCACCTACGTGATCAAGCCTCGCCCGGATGGCGATCTTTGTCTGAAGATATCTGAAGCACCACGCAATGTAGGGCCTTCAGGGATCAGACCACGACGCGAAGCGGCTCACAGCCCGCGCTGGCAGCGCGTTTTGGGGTTTGCCAACCATGCTCTTCGGTTGCGGTTTAGGGTTTGTCCCGCCAACCAACATTTTTTAGAACCACCGATCCTACATAGCCGATCCGGCAGTGGCTTAATCGATCGCTCTCGGCCCTCAGCCGATCTGATTCGTAGCTCGACGGTTCTGCTTGGTGGTGGTGGTGGATCCTCTTCGCACCCTGCACAGAACCATGCAAGCCGCTGCGTGGTCCTACCTTCAGGCGCTTATCTCTGCCCGGCCCAACTCCCAAAAAACGATTTGGTTTGGAGGTGTAGGATCCCGCGGGTTCAATCCCTGCTCATGCCACACCCGAGTCTTCCGCCCAGGGTGCTGTCGTGCCCGGATTCCCCACAGTTGTTCGCTTTCCACTTCGGGATGCATTGAAGTACTAGTATTTGTCGTAGGCCAAGCTTCCGATAGAGGCAGCAGGTATGATTCCTTTGCGGTTCAGGCGCACATCAGCCTGCCTGTGCACGCTTGGCTGTTATTCGCAAAAATCAATGTAGCCCAGGTGTGTGATAAAGGAGCTCAAAGGAAAACCGGATGATCAGGCATCCGGGTTTGCTGTTCGGAAGACGTGATCGCTGTTTCTGACATATCAGGCAGTTCGCATCTTCCTTGAATACGAGGATGTGGCGGCCGCCACGAAGGCTTGACTGCTTCCGTTTAGTGGTTTTGTGCCTCGTCTTCACGGCCAACGCCTGACAGGCTTTTACCGACATGAATGGGCGATACTTCGGAGGGCGTGTCGTGAAGGCTCGCTTCTTTGAGGAGAACCTCTTCGCCCAGGCGCAGCTGTTGTGAGCAAGTCACGGAATACTGCTTGGCAAGTGCCGGTTAGCTTGCAATACCAGCCTGCAAAGAAATAGGATTGCAATAGGAAAGTTTCAAAATTAAGCCAGCACGCTCTGTGCAACATGCCTGTCTCCTTTCCGGTGTTGAAGAGCTGCATCCTTTTCGGATCTTTTTCTGGGGCATGCATAATGGCAATTCCACTGCCCGGGGAACATTACCAGTCCGGGAGGGTGCAGTTGATGTGTCTCAGTGCGTTGCTTGTTTTCTCAAGTTGGGAAATCGTCGGCTAACATGACCGCACTAGATGAGCTGACCCCAAGCATTGACATCGAGGATTTCTTTATTCATATTACAGAGGCGACTGAAGATGAAGGCTGGATAAACGTGCAAGATCGGTTTCAGGACGGCTCTCTGGAACACGATGGCCGGATTTGCTACAGATTTTCCGGCTGTGGATCTTGCATGACTCGGCTGCAGTTTGTGGTGGACACAACGCTGCCGGCATCCTCATTGTTGATCCGTCCGGAAGTCTCCATGCAATCCATCACCGATGTCACGGGTTTGCTGGCCGCAGAGTGGCAAGAGCAATTAAGCCCCGGTGACGCCATCGTACGGGTTAACCGAAGGGAGCACGAAGCGGGTTCTCTGCGCCTAAATTCGATGCGGCAGATCCTTGAAAGCCCATCGCAGCTTTACGAGGAAGATCAAGAATCCCCTCATCCTCAACAAGAGGCGGCTGAATGGGATGAATATTTTGCGAGAATGATAGTTCGACGAGACGTTCCAGAGATTGGAATGGCAGCCATGTTGGTGATGCCGCTTGGGCGACGCCACACGGTGGTGTTTCAGGTAGGCCCGGTCAAGGCATATACTCTGACAGTACAGCCGCATTCAGAGCCTGGCAAAGTGATTGTCTCCCACGTCATGTTTCTACCTTTTTCTGCATATCCGGTTTGGGCTACGGAACATTTCTCCAGCCTCAGCAAGCTTGAAAAAAGCCGTTTCGAGAGGTATGTACAGTTGGAAGATTTGCCGAAGCTTTGTGAAGTGGACAGGTCGTTCTACACCATCTTACACTTACGAGGCTGCAACAGGGGCGTACCCTTACTGCCCATTCATGATGAGCAGGCACAAGCGATCTGCCAACTCGACAGCAATGCATGTGTACTCATAACGGGAGAGGATGGTTTGGACTCATATTGGATGAGATGGACGGAGCAGAATTTTACGTTTCGCACATACCTGCAAGAGTTTCTGAGCCGAAGTAACATCAGGCTAAATGTGTACACCGAGTTGAGTGGCAGGAAGTTGGTACCATATCAGGTTGCGGTATCTACTCAGGAATGGGATGCCTGCAAACATGATGTCCTTGCAGCTTTCCACAAGCAACAGCGGGCATACAGACGCATGAACGGCGGTGTAAGTGCCCCCAGAGTAGGGGAGGCCACGGAAGCTCGCTTCCAGCACCTGGAACCCAAGCCCAAAAAGTTGTGCTTCGCATCAACCAGCGCCGATGTCGTTGTGCGACGAACTTTCATTGACATGTTGGATTCTGAGTGGACTGAGTCTGGCTCACGCCAGGGATGGGTTGCAGCCTATAACCAAGTCGGCGGTGCTCTGATAAGAGCTTCAAGCGCTGAGTTCTGATATTGCCTTGAGTTCAAGTATCTACTCCCTGCCGGTTCTCCTCCGATTGACAGTTGCCCTTTGATGAGGCGTCTTTGCATGGCCATATAATGCAGTTTCCTGATTCGGCAGCGATGTTTGCTGAAAGACCGGACAGTGGACATGGCCGACTTGGCCTTGCGACGATGGGCACTTTTGCTGCGATTTTCAACCGGTGCTCAATCGGCACTGTATCACAGACTAATTCGAACAGCTTAGCCTGCCATTTTCGTGTAGTCAACTCTCAACGTGGAGTGATAGACCTCAGTCCCTGCACATGACTCCGTGCCAGGCGTTGCAAAACAGGATGGGCTAGAGATGCAAGGCACCCATCGTTTCGGACTAGAGTCCTTTGATTGGCTTCTTACAGTACCACCACAGTATACAGCACATTGCATAGTTCAATCTAATCTACCAGGTAGTACAGTAAAACGGGTGCTGCGGTGGCAATGCATGCATGAGAGCCAACCCTCGTCCTGCCAGGGGCAGCTGGAGGCTGGGTGAGACGCGTGAGAAATTACAAGCGGCGAACGAGGGCACATGCGTGTTGCTTCAGTGGAATGTTCCGACCCGCTCGGCTTTCCTGTTTGTTTCACAGACGGAGTGAGGACGAATCGGTGTGGCAGAGAGGGGGTCATTAGGAAGCGCCGTGTGCGTGGACAAAAAGAATATGGTTCTCAGAGCAATCCGGTCAGATCATGTCAGGGAGAACTGCACGCTGTCACAATTGCTGTGCTTCCCGCTCTCCATGGTCCCACAGCAGCGTGATGCAGCTTTACATGTATTTAACTCAGCTCGTGGCACCTTCTAAATTACCAGTCTTCAGCAAACCCAGCAAAGCTCGACTTTTGCAGCCATCGCCGGCAGTCAGCCAGCAGCCCAGGGCAAGCAAAAGAGAGCTGTGAACCGAAGATTGTGGATAAGGTGGTAATGGGAAATGGAAAATCAAAGGAGGAAACAGTCAAGGAGAAGGCATCGCGTGGCTGGCCGTCGAAGGGTCGTAGTTTCGGGAACGGAGTTCGAGGCCAGGGAATGGCAGCGACAAATCCGTGGCGAGTCACGGCGCATAGACCGTGACATCTCCAGGATGCGTCTTGGCCACGGCCAAGCCACAGGCTGACGCAGGCGTAGGCCCAGCTGCACCTCTCAGGTCAGGAGGAAGAAAAACTGAAAAAGGAGATCAAGACCATGGCGGAGAAGGGTCAAGCAGCGAGCGCCCGCAACTTAACTGTTGCTCAAGAACTCATGTTGTCTCTTCTGATCAGTGTGGCGTGAGATCACTGAAAGAGGGAGAAGGCGCTTATGCAGGTCAAGACCCTGGCGAGGCAGGTGGTGCGATCGCGGAAGGCGGTTGCCCGACTCGAGAGGCCTGGGGCCGAAGTGAAAGGAGATGCGTGCCTTGCAGTTGCACTTTTGGCAAGGACGAAGTGCTCGATGTCCGCGGTAAACCTTCACCTCACTACCGTCGAAGCCTGACAAAGCTGAATCACGCCAGAGCAACTCGCAGTTTCTCGGACTAGGCAGTCGCATCAATGTCCACGGCGAGTGCGCTCAAAATGTCCTCCGGCGTAATGAAGGAGATGAACAGGCCCATCTTCAAGTCCTGTATCTACTCATATTCACAGTCATTATCACATCAGAGAACCGTGGCTGGTGAAGGCTGATGAATGTTCCAGAACTGCAGCGAACCATGGAGGCAATCGGGTGCACATCTGGCCTGCATTGGCTGCCTGAAAGTCTTGTGCCGCGCAGGACATGCGGCAGGAGATGATGCGAGCAGAGATCGCCGATGAGATGATGGAGGAAGGCGGGTGTACTGTACTCTTACAGTCTCTTGCAATGCGATGACACATGTTCATTTCCAAGCGGCCTTCCCCCCCAGACCAAGCATGTCAGCAGGTTTCCAAGAGTCGGACGATGAGACCGAGATAGACTCTGCTGTCGCCAGAGTTTATGAGGTTGGGGCTGGGAGGCGTCTGCAATTTTGCTGGGTGTGTAGATTCTGCTTGCAGAGGAACTCGCTCTGGACAAGTCCCAGCTCTTGGACACAGGCTGGGTGAGGTCACTGCAAAGTTCAGCACAGAGCAAGATCATTTACAGACTCCTTTCAATTTGGAGGTGCAGCTGCGGCAGCTCCAGCCCCTGTGGCAACGCCTGCCCCGGAAGCGACAGAGGCTCTCCGTGCTGACTGGATCTCATGTACAATCATGATCACGTTTTGGCCTAAGGACCCACTGATGCAGCGGCTGCAAGCACTGCAAAGGCACGAGCTCTCTTGCAAGCATGGGATTGCGGGCACTGCAGTAGCATGTCGCTCAGGTGATTTCGAGCAGTTTCCAGTTTCCATGCCTTTGCTACATCTGACGGGTCAAGAAGCAGAACGCAAAGCGTTGCTGAAGTCAGTACAGGTTATGCCCAGCGTGTGCAAAGGTTAGGACAGTCTCAGAGCTGCCTACTGAACACAGCAAATGCGTTTGCGTGGTATCTTCGTCACGCGCTTGAAGCAATCTGCCACTTGGGCATCTGCTCTTTTAGCTCATTCATGTCAGTGCGCGCACAGAAGGGGAAAAGCAAAGTCACGGGAGTGTTTTTCGGCCTTGCGACATCCAGCTTCGGGTGATGAATTCTGAGATATTATGCCGGAACGCCGGCCCAATTAGCAAAACCTGCAGAAGCATTCATTTTAAATGCCATGCTGGCCGCCTGCGTGCCTTCATTCAACATAGGACGGCGCAGCGATGGATTCTGCTGGGCCCGAGGGCCCATATCGATAATGCGTGGCGAAACACTGCTGCACACCCGTCAACATCCAGCCCTTGCCGCAAGGCGCTTTGAGTCTTCCCTGCAGCATGGCATCAGTTGTTGAACTATTTGTTCGCAGGCCCAAAGCGTGTTTTGCTTTGCACGGGATCCAGGGGTCTGCGAATGCGTCCCAAAATTGGCATGGATGCAGGCGAGACATGGTGAGAGCGAGCCTACTTAACCCACCTGTGCCAGAAAGAGACAGTCCCCAATCGGGGCATGTGGGCCTTTAAAGCAGGCACGGAGCACCGTACACGCCCACCGTAGACTCGTAGACGTAGGCACTTCCCAACCTCCGCTGACGTCTTCCCTGCTTTTTCGCGTCCTTCTGTTGCCCCTGGCTGCGGTTTGGACTGCTTGCAGAGCTTTCCAGCTGTCTCCTCCGGTCAGCTGGCTGTCTCTTTCTTGGCCTCTTTGGCTTCTGGGGCGGCCTTGTCTGAGACTTCTTGGCGCTAAAAAGAGGGAGTGAAATGTTGCGAAACCCCTAACTTATCTGCCCGACAGTACAGTTCCCTCTGATGTTGTGAATCCGACTGATCAGTGAGAATGTGCCGAGCACTGCCGAGCCGTGACTTCGAACCTGTGTGACCGTCGGAGGGCCGAACCTGCCTCGTGCCCAAGGCGAAGAATCCCCGCTCTGGTCCAGACTTTTGCCTGGAGGACCGCCAGCGTGGTTGTAATGCGTCTTGCCCAGGCTGAGACGGTTTTCCGGCAACAAACCGCCATTTGGAACGGAGCTGGCCAGGGCCCGGATGACCTCGTTCTGAGTTCACGCCAGATGCCCTGTGTTTGGTTTGGCGGCGCCGCACTTGATCCTTTTCGGTGTGCCAGGTCTCATTGCTAGGCACTTGCGGGCTCGAGACAGTCAGGTTTCGTGGCATCTGCTCTATATGTATAATCATGCACGGCCGCCCCCGTGATCCCCCGTGCCCAGTTTGCATTGTGCACCCCCGCACCTCGCTTAACGCGGGATTTCGCGCTTGCGCACGATGCCCGTGTGCTCACTGCCTTGAGGACGATGTTGCTTGCTGAAGGCTGCCGCCAGCCGCGCGCGCGTGTTGCAAAACTTGCTCTGCGTGATGGCGTCTCGGCCTTCGGAGTGCTGCCCTGCACGCGACAGCGGCGTTCTGGGCGTCCTGGGATGATGCGGTGCCCGTCCCCGTCAGTCAACTCATTGGTGCCAGCTCCTGACGCACGCGGGGGTGCTGAGTGGCCACCCGTGCAGGACCCTTTGCAAGCTTTCAACGCGCTTGCCGAGGCTGGTTTGGAGGTCCCGCGTTGGGCTGATGCCACAACACGGCCCGGAACCGCCGCTGACGAGACTGACCCCGATGCGTCGTACCGGGGCTGGCAGCCGAGAGGGCTGCGCGGCTGCGGAGCATGGCTGCGTTGTTGGTCCCGGAGTCTGCTCGAGCGTGCAGCGGCCCAGCGGATCGAGGCGGCCTCGGCAACGACAAATGCGTGGCGTCCGCGGGGTCGCAGCCGCCGCAGACGTGAGGGGGACGGGGGACCGTGAAGGCACGGCCTGAATGGGGTGAGACATCGGAGCTCGGAGTTGAGGCGAGAAAGGGCGTGTGCTCGTCACAAGCTGCCAACCATGCAGGTGGCCGTCTCCATGACTCCATGCGGAGAGTGCGGCGCACTCGCACTGGCATGCACGCGTGCAGCGCACTGAGGCTAGTTTGCCGCTTCAGCTGGAAAACGTTGGATGGAGCAGCGCAGGGAAGGCATCCTGCGCCGGACTTGGGACATCGCAGACCCACCCCATGGTAGCCGTGCCGTGGCAAAAAACATCAACCAACAGCTCGGGCGTTTGGTAGAGCAGGCTGCACAGACACGAGGCAACCCCGGGATCATGTTCGCGGGATTCATCGCGCTCCACCCGAATGCACCACGTCGGTCCTGCGGGCGGACCCTCGAGCAGCCGACTTGTGGGAGCTCGCTCGCCAGCTCCCGCGCCAGATGCCCCGGAGACCCTAGTTGTCGCACTCGCCCGCGCGGCTGAAACCGGCCCCAAGCACCTCTCTCACCGGTCCAGGAAGAATGTTTCCGCGACCCGACCACCCGATCCCCCGCCAACTCCCCGGAGAGGTTCCTCCACGCTCATCACGGTGTGTTTGTATGTTTGTATGTATGTATGTATTATGTATGTATGTATGTATGTGCGTAGGTATAGTGGCTTATATTCATGTCAAGAAGTGATGGACAGACGAAAACCTTGTTCATGTATCACAGATTCATACCCCCACAAGGTTGGCCATCAGGGCACAATCACCAAATATTGTTTATTTGGGCGTAAACAAGTTCCTTTCTTGATGCTCGGACAACAGACAAGAAAATGTGATGAACGCATGTATTGTATTGGGATGTATTGGGCAAACACAACCGTTTGGCAGTACGCCCACTTGTTGCACGTAACTAACTGGTTGACCGCCTCAGCCACGTTGTCACTTTGGTAGGGCAGTTAGGCAAGGTCTCACGCCGCCATAGTACCTTCCACATTTCCGTGTGTGTGCACGCCTGCCCTTAGGTGCCCTGGGCCCTGCCATACATAACTTGCACTGTACCAGCCCGAGCCAGGCTCATCAAACTTGCACAATTAGGTGGGAAAGATTGTTGCGTAGGATTCTGGTACGGGTTCCGCTTCGGGGCTGACCTTCTTCAACTTCACAAATTACTGTATCGATACACTCGCTCTTGGTTCGTTGAGGACCGCATTGTCCCACTGGTCCCACGATGCTATCCTCAGCCAGGTATCCTGCTGTGCGCACCTCAGAGAGCTTGTTGTTGAGCGAAAACCGGAGTCGGGAGCGACTTACAGAGGGATCGGTAGACTAGTTGGCAAACAAGAAGTGGAGGAATTGGAATAAACAGATTGAGGAGTGTGAAGCGGCTGGGGTTGGGACCGGTATTGCAGAGCCATCTAAAGAATTGGGTCGCGCGGTCATTGCCATCGAAGACGAGCCCGCCGAGGCGTCGTATGGATCACAATGCGACGATCCCGCTGCAGCGGCTTATGGATGCGGACGCGACGAGCCTGCTGGTGCTTCGGTTGGATCCGTGTGCGATTTTAGTGGCTCGGCATCGCAGCTCATTTTGGATATTTTGGTTTCGCTGGATTACCACAACGTCCTGGATTTGAACTTCGAAGACTCTCGCAGCTTCATTGACCGAATCCATCGCGAGCTGCCGCAGGGGTTGAGCCCTGACGAACCCAGTGATGCTGCAGGCTCTGATGGCGCTGTTTCTGAGCACGCCCTTTCTTTGCAGCACCGAGATGCCGAGCGCCGTAATAACGGGGATGATAGCTTCTACGTACCTTTTCAAAGAAGTTGAACCCGGAGCTGTTCACGATGTTCTCCGAACATAACTAAATATCGTGTCCCGCAAGAATCCCCAACAATTCATGCAGCATAGCAGGGCTCTTGGTAGGCACCCGAAAGGCCAATTCACTGCAACCTGTGAGATTCATTTGAAAGCTCAGGCCTGCGTGCCGTCGTGTTGGAAGCATGGCGTTGTTGTTCCCGTCCCGAAGGGCGCATGCAGTGCTGATCGTGATAATTATCGCCCAATCACACTCATCTCATGTTTCGCAAGAACATTGGAGCGCATGATCTTGAATTGGATACAACCCCATGTTGATCCGATCCTTGACGACTCTCAGGCTGGCTTTCGCTTGAGGACCTCTTCGAAACATTGCGCAGTCTTGGACATCCGCAAAGCCTTTGATGTCGCTCGGCGTGACGGGGCACTCCTCCGTCTGCCCCGTGCCGGAGTGTCAGGTCGATTATGGCACTTGATTGATGATTTTGTCTCAGATCGCACTGCTGCAGTGCGCATAGCAGCTTCTGTCTCCGAACAGTGGGGTGTTGAAAACGGCCTGGGCCTTTTCAATGTTCTCATCAGTGGGTTGGCTGCCACGATCAAGCGAGCCTGTGCTGGTGTCCGCTGCTGCCCTTGTGATCTCCAGCTCGCATTAGATGCCATCAGCTATTCAGGCTCATGTCCCACTTCCATCAGAACAACCAGTTAACACTTCAAATTTCTCAGACGTCTTCACAAATGCGGACGTCGCAGCATGCCCGCAAACAACTGCGTCTACCTCTGGAATCATCGTCATGATTCGCACTGGGACGTGCCTGTACCCAGCATATTGGTTGTCAATGAAACAGACAGCCACAGCACGCTCGACCTCATTGCCCTTGCTACGGCGATGTTTGCTGACATCGAGAGGTCTCCACGCGATTCTCGAAAGCATTCTAGGGATAGAAGGATAGATGTGCCCGTGCTGTACCAGCAAGAATACAGCACCCTCCTTGCTGTTTTGAGGAAAGGCTACAGTGCAATGCTTGGGCATGCATCCAAGGTGCATCGAAACAACATCTCATCAGTTTGTGAATGCTTGTGTGTGACCGCCTTGCAGATAGCTGTTCCCTCGACATGTGGGGGGCCGGCACGCCCCCTCTTAGCTTCTACAAAGGGTCTGTGGCAAGTATGCTTTTCAAGTGAAGAGGGTCGCGC